AAAAAAGAGGACTATCCCAGGACGGATAGTCACCGTAGTTATATATATTAATGAAAATCAACGCGAACTCCTAGCCACTTAAGCCAACTGGAACTTGCACTTTATTATGCAAATATTTAATGGTCTATAAAACTGCATGCTCAAAATTATATCTAAATTTTTTTTGTGAAAATTTTTTTAAAACATTTAAAATTTTTCTTGTGAAACCCTACACTTATTTTCAACTTGTTTTTCTTATATATAATATTAATTAACTGGAGCAGGGTAATCGATTTTCTTCAAAATTGCAACATTTTCTGCACTTTTCGATATAAAATTTAAAATAATCAAATACAAATTATAGAATCGGGTTCAGCTGCTCTCTTGCTAATTTTTACTAGCTTTCATTAAAAAAAAAAAAATTATAAGAAATTAAAAAAAATGACGACTTCACCGAATTATTAACAGCAAATTCCAGTTTTGAACCACTGCGCGTAGATATCTCAGGCATACTTGGTAAGGGACTCTCTAGAGATACAAAAGATCTTTCAAGTCGCAGTGTCTCTTGTTCCGCTCGCTATATGCATTTAACTGGCTGCTTCTGGGTAGCCATAACGATTACTGATTATTGATTACTTATTTTAAATTCTGGGTAAATTAGTTTGAAATGATTCTTGCCTAAATGAATGCAGTTTAATTAACTAATTCAAAGTATGTTTACTCTTTGTCACCAAATAAATACTATAATCAACTATACAAATATGGGTATAACTTATACTTTCAAAAAATGTCACTTAGACCCTTATGATTCTAACCCCCTAAAATAAAAAATATGAGAAAACCAACGCCTGTAAGATTGCTCTTAGCCACCAGTAGGACGAATAAATTGGCGAAAATTCCTTGAGTCAAGGACATGTTTGCGTGAGATTAAACAATTAAATTAACAATATTGCAATTATGAATTAAAAACCCAATAGGGATGTTCAGGATCTTGTCCATATGCTCTTGCATTTGCATATTCGTTGCATTTGTAAATTCACAACAAAAAAATGCACACCGGTTGCCATTGCAGCAAGCATAACATTTGCAAATTCAATTCCAACTGCAAATCCAAGGCCACAACATCCTGAACAGCCCTAATGTTATAACAAAAATGTAGGAAAATTAACTAACTTCGGCGCTATACATTTCGACCTTTTCCGCACAACATTTGCAAAGAAATAAATATTATACCAGCATGCTTGTGCGTTTGTGTGCTTCGAGCTTTACTTGGGGTTTACATAGGACAATTTTGCGAAGACAATAGCAATACATTCACACTTCTCACATTGTCTTCTTCACTGTCTTTGATTTTTCGATGATTTTGTAATCTCGAATAATTTTTTTTTACCTAAGTAATGGCAATTTTCAAAAAATATATATATAAAGAAATTATTTGTGTAATTCTATAGCAACTTTTAAGAACGTATCGGTTATAAAAATGCAAAAAACATCATTTAGCGACTTTCATTTGTTATTTCCATTCCTTTTTTTTTTTGCAAACAAAGTGTCACATGGTCGACACGGTTAACACCAATTTGTACAATCAATGCAAACTGCATTTAAAATACATTCGCATGCATGTATGTGCAATATGCGTAGACGTTTGTGTGTACCTATTTTAATTTAAATTTCCCAACTAAAGTTTTACAACAAAACTGATTATTTTACCTTGGTAAAGCATATATAGCACAGCCAACACTAAAAACACTTTCATTTTTAATCTGTTAAATTGAAAATCCGCGCCTTGTCCAGCGTTCGACAACAGCTGAACTAATTACGATTTTTACTACGCGAAATCTTGTGACAAACTAAAAATCGCACCAACGATCGTCACGCGTAAAAGTGATCACTGATCAGTAACAACTAAATCGTGCACTACCACAAAGGAAGGTAGCAAACAAATGTTAATAAATGTAGGTGGGTAGATAGATAGGCACATATGTACAGGTGCGGAAATATGTCCGGAATAACAGCACCACAACGGTGGGTGACAACTTCCCAACTGAAGTCGTCGGACTGTGCGGCTGATCGAGAAAACGCACCCGTAGGCAAATGTAAACGTCTAACAAAGCAAAATCTTCCCTTACTTTTCACCTAAAAAATGTATGTATGAATATACAAAGCACATAGATTCGTATAAATATATGTATATATGTATGTACATACTTACATGCATATATTAAGCTTTTAGCAAACGGAAGCAACAACGAAAAAATCCCTGCAGTGAAAAACCAAACCAGTTAGAAAAAATACTAGTTCATTAACTAGAATGTGCTTACCAGTTCGAAAATTTCGAAGAACTTAAGCGTTCAGCGATATCTGCCTTTGAATGGCCAAAGACAAAAATAAAACGCAATTAATTGCTTTTCTTAAAAATGTCGGCTGTGGCGTCACGGGAAAACTACTGGTTCTGGTTCTGAGAACGTAGGTTCGAGGCCGCTTGAAGGTAGCTAAGATTTTTAATGTTAAATCAAAGTAAGTAAAAATAAATATTTCAATAAATAACAAATTTGAAAATCTAATTGCATTGCAGAAAATACATACATATGGGAAAAAATGCTTGTGCCATAAAAAAAAAATATATTATAAATGTATTATTTTTTTAATTAAATTTAAAAATTACAATACCCTAAATTAAAAAAAATATTAATTAAAAAATTAAAGATTTTCCCTCCGCCAGGACTTGAACCTGGGACCTCAGGCATACCACGCGAGTGCTTTGCTCTGTCGGCCATTGCTACTGTTGGAGCGCCGGAGCAAAAAGGCATACTTATGCTTTTCACTGGGCATGAATTGGCAGACTATCACATCAACTGGTATGATGCTACTAGTATTTCTACTAGTAGATGCTGATGCATAGCCTGCCAATTGACATCTCGTATGACATCGCAATGTTAAAAATACCAGTCGCTAGCATTGAAAAAGCCCTGCAGTTAGTTGAATTCGTTTGAAAGTAATTTATAAACAACTCTATTTTCAATAATAACTAATTGAAATTCTCACTATTTTACCTGCAACTAATTCATTTATTTAACATGGTGATGTCCTAGGAAGCAGTAAATTGCTTTGCTTTAAAATGAATTTTGCTTAAACAACTTCAAAGTCAGTATGTCTCCTTTGAAAACATTTTCGTTCTGCACTTCACAGATGCCTTTTCATACTTCCAAGACAAAAATTGTTTTTTGAGCAAAAAGGGTATAAAAATTCGAAATATTTACTCATTGCATTTGATTAGTTGATTTAAAAAAAAATAAAATACTTCTTTCCGTCAGGGAGGATAGAACGTGAACTAGTTGTGCTGGTAGAATTCTAGTTCACAACTAGTAGCCGTCCCTGCAGGGGTATAGAGTGATTGCAAGACAATGCCGTCCATAAACTGGCCAACAGATATAGTACATATGTACATACATTGCCAATTTAATAGATAGCAACGACAAATTGATCGCAAATTTGCCGAGTGGTCGAGTGGCCGAGTAGTTGTCATGTCGCCCCCACTGCCTATTTAACTGCTAATGCAAAGTGTTGGAGAGCCGCCAAATTTATTAATTCATGATAATGATTTGTAGTATGCGAGTATGTACCTTAACAGGACTATGCGATTGCCGTAAGTAATTAAGTTATTAGAAAAATAAATTAATATTCTCTTACGTTTGACAACCTGTATGATAATAACGCACACACACTTTTTCGCACACTTATCACTTTGGTGCTTAAAAAGTTGTGCAAATCAAACAAAATTTAACACAATAGGGGTATTCTCTGAGTCTTGCAAAGCCCTTGCACGGTGCACAGATTGCACGGATTGCACGGTACAAACCGGTTTTCGTATGGGACAGCTTTGCAAACCGTGCAATCCGTGCACCGTGCAAGGGCTTTGCAAGACTCAGAGAATACCCCTAATAGTTATACTCGTAATATCAAGGTGGCGGCGAGGGTATTTACGAGGCAAGAGTAAAATGGTTGGTAAGACTAGGACGGTTGCCGATCGGTGGCGCCCTGCAACAAAAAGTGGTAAGTCGAACTTATGTATTTGTGGATAAAAAAGAGTAGAAGAGTACATATTCACCTTTTTATTGATTATGTTGCATTTCATCGAATTGCAAGTCCCTGTACCGTTTCATACCAAAAAAAAATGTTAGTTACACCCTTTCAGATGACGATATGTATAGATATTTGTGTCCGGCCGAATGTCCGGCTTGGTTTCGCTATTCGGCCTATTTCGCTGAGATTTTATTTTCGGCTTCGGCTGTGGCCTTCGGCCGAAAATGCCGAACAATTAGGCAATTCACAAGGCGTTGTATTTATCGTGAAGTTACATTATTTTACGAAAGTTGTTGAAATTTTGTTGTTGTTTCACATATCTACATAACACTTATGAAAATTTAAGAACTCTGTATCGACTAGAGCTCTAGATACCCGGGTATCGAGCAATGCGAGTAGCTCGATACTCGCTCGAAACTCGTTCATTGCTCAACTGCTCAAATGTTTGTTCAAAATTTTCGAGTTTTTGAACAATTTCATAAACAAAAGAAAATTTGTAAATTGTGTTTGTCAGCAGCTGCTTTCATGTTAAATAAATTATATTATTAAATACCAATGAAACAATCTTTGCATTATATATCAATAATTTGAAAAATTTAAAAAGTTGCTACCAAAAATGTCAATATAATAAAAAAAAACATTGCTAAAATTACTCGAAAAAACTCGAATTGCTCGAGCTCTTGCTCGAAAATTTTCGAGTAATGAGCATTGAACAAGTGTGCGAGTACTCGCTGCTCATATACCCGGGCTGTTTGAAAATGTGCGAACAAAATCGAGGGCTCTAGTATCGACCGCTTTGCGCAAAATTATCGTATGTTACAAAAACCAAATTTTACACGAAAGTGTTCTTTGCAAAGTTTAGCTTTGCTGAGATAATTGAGAATTATAATTAAACACAAGATTTTCTTTTTTTTTGTAAGGTCTCTACATTGCTAATTTCTTAGCACATACGATAATTTAATACGAGATTTAAGCCGTAATATTTGAACAAATGATGCGTTGAGTTTTTGAACTGCGATTTGCAATGTGTGCCAGAAAGAGCTTTCCCTGGGAAGTGAAATGTCAAAAAAAAAAATTCTGAGCTTAAAAAAGCATCCATCACAATACCAAAAATTTTTAGCAGCTATAGAAAAATGTACGTTTGTAAGGTGTTCGATTTATTTAAAACATAATAAAAATATTTTGTTACGAAATAAAAAATCACAGGCCTATTATTTTTGAACGGTAGAACTTAATTTTAATATTCCACCGAAGCCGAATTGAATATTGAATAATACCTAATATTAGACTTCGGCTTCGGCCAAAATTCCAGCTTCGATCGGTCACTTATAGATATGGGCATATTTGTATATTTGACAATTATGTATTTTGCTAATTAAGTGCGAATCGAAAGCAAATATGTATGTATGTACATCAGATTAGGTGGAAAAAATTTCAGAAAAAAATAAATATGTCTGTGGTGCTATTTCCAATAGGCATTCTTATAAACCGAAGCTATTCCAAGGTGTTCGGCATCAGCCAATGTTCGTTTTACCTGCGAAAAACCAAAATTATGCACACGGCGCAGCAGTGATGAATAACTATCTAACGGTAATACAACAGTGGGCTCTAAAATCAAGCCTGGGGATAAGTACGAATAAAACAGACACACTGGCCCTCATGCATAAAAAGTGAGCTTAAGCTCAAAGTAAATTTTTGCACTGATGGAGTGAGCTCAGAGCTCGATCTCAAGAATTTTAGAGTCAGAGCTTAAGCTCACTTTTTATGTATAACGCAGGTAGGGCTTTATAAAAAGTGGCATGTAACTCCGTTGTTTTTGGTACTAACACTTTAAAACTTTTATTGAAGGTGTATTTTAATACAACCAACCAAAATCTGTGAAAAACGAAGTTTTGGTTAGAGTATTTGTGAATTAAGGTAACGATGTGTAGGCGTAGTGGTAAGCAGCCCGCCGGTGTGCAAGCCCTGGTCAAAGCATCATCGAAAAAAAAAATTTAGAAAAAAAAGTTTTTTAACAGCGGTCGCCCCTCGGCAGGCAATGGCAAACCTCCGAGTATATTTCTGTCATGAAAAACAACTTATCATAAAAATACAATCGCCGTTCGTAGTCAGCGTAAAACATTAAACATTAAAAACTCTCTCCAAGTAAGCTTTATAATTTAGGGGTTATTTATTATAATTTTTTTTTTCATATAGTGATCCGGTCTAACGCACATGCATACATACGTAAGTAGTTTGAAAGCAACAGAAATTAGTACAAAAATATGTATGTAGTTATGTGTAATATATACCAGGGTTGTTGCGAATATGCGCATTCGAATTCGCTATCGCGGAGCTTCCGGATTAATTTTAACATTCGCATTCGCTTTCGCATTCGCAAATGGCAATGCGGAGCTCTTGCGAATGGGAATATTGTGCAAGTGCACTGATAAAACATATATCTGGCGAATAAAATTACAAACTGTAGCCAATATTTTTGCCTGTGGAGATGCTAAGTATGTTAAAACTGTCCCCCTACGTTGCCTCCCCCCTTCTTTTGTAATTTAAAGTCAAAGAGTAAGATCCTTCAATAGGTTTTTTCAGCGAAAATGTTCAACGTCTGGCTATAAAGAGAACCGACTATTTTCGCGTTAAAAGGTAACCTTTAATTAGGTTAGAATTATCTAACTATCGAATATTATTTGACAAAAGTCTGTTGAAAAAATTGGATGCATCGCTAGTTTTTATTCCACTTTTTCTTAGATAAGTGTAACAATTTTTTGTTTCATAAAACGGGTTATTATGATTAAGTTCCGTGTTTTCTTTTATTACTTAGCAGAAAAACTCACCAAATAATTTTGACCGGTTTTACTATGCAAATACTCCTCTGTGCGCTTGAAAACAGCAAAATTTATTTTAATTTTGTGATAATTGTCAAAATTTGCTCGCAGCGAAATAAAAATAAAATGGAATGTGCAAAAGTTGACAGTCAAGTTCACAAATTAAATAAAAATAAATTCCAAGCGAATT